GAGTCGACAAACCTTGTTAGCATGGACCTAAGCATCTTGAATGTGAGCTTCAAAGTTTGATGAGGGTTTTAGGTCTTTGAGCACGAATACCACTCCATGTACATTGAGCAAAGAGAACAAACGTTCTTGCCAACTCTTGAAATTCTTATCAGCGAAAACCTCGATTTCTTAGACATCCGAGAATGCCTTGGAAAACGTCATTGCCATTGGAAGTGCAATTGGTGGCACGGATGATGATGGACCACTATCGCGTACGGTGATAGTAGGAGGTGCACCCGACGCGGTATCGTCATTGGAAGCCGTTTATCCTTAAAATTGTTAGCAAAATAGAAAAACACAGAAATTAAGATGATTCAAATGAAGTATTATTCCAAATTAATAATTCATTGGATAGGATAAGTTTTAATAAAATTAATGCTGTCCCACCCATGGATTAAGTAAGGTCACCTCCTCTGCGTAACGCCATCAAATACTTCAACTGTATCCACTAGAAATGCAGACACTAATTTAATGCCGTTGATTTTCAGCATTTTGAAGTTAACGAGACCATGAGAGTAATATTCAGTGTGATAGTTGTACGTGTAACTACTAACTAGCAGCATTTATTAAATTAGATACGTGAAAATTAAGTTTAGATTCCACTATCCCATTTAAGAGAGTCGTCAACCTATTTTATGTTTATATGTTAGTTCTCAAATCAAATTAATCTATAGATTTATACCACTTAGAACTTCATAAGGAACCACGTTCAAGAAAATAAATAACGTTTTAGAATAGTTAGCTTGGCTGTTGCTGCAGTATACAAGTTACGATATAATAAAAGTGCAAAATGATCAAACGCTGCAGCAGCACAGTTTCACAGCGAAACTATTATTCTCTACTACTGTCCATCCAATGTTCCGATGGCCTCCTGCAGAAGTCTTTGCGCTTCTTCTCTTCTCCTGAACCAACAAAAACGATTTTTGATTCACAGATTCAGATGAGAACAAGCACATTTAGAAGGGATATCCAACTGCTCGGTTGGTGAATACAGCTGCTAAACGAATTGTTGGCTGTACGCAACAGGGTCTTATACAAACTAATTATCATCAATAAACACGGAAAATTATTCAGCATCTATTCAAGAGAGAACACTCGCGAAATATTAAACTAATGTCATCTATATTAAGCCAGTTTCCATAGCGAGCAATAATAGCAACTTCATTTATCAAACTAGATTACACATTTACCAAAAAATCTTTTTACAGAAAAAATAAATTTTATTTCGAGAAGATATTTACCCTATCAAGAGTGGTACTCCTCCCCCAACCCCTGGCCCAAAAAAAATAGAGAAAATCAAACATCAATCATCTGCCCCATTCTAAGCATCTTCAAGACAAACAAGTCCCATATAATAGTATTTATTCCCAGATCAGGAGAACCATTCTACTCAACTTTTCAATTATGTCCAAGCATACAACCTATGGAGCCAGTTTCTCTGTGGATTTGTTGAGATTATATTGCTTATTGATGTGTGAGATTTTCTACTCCTAATTTTTACTTCTCTCCTCCTAATCTTTAATCCTATTTATGTGTCAAGTTGTTGATCATGTACATTTATACCAATTGGAGTGGGATTACCACGAAATCAAATGGAAAAAAACAATACCCTATCATATTCCATCCAACCACAAATAAGAATCAAAATCAAAATAAAGAATATGTTTAATTAGAATTGCAATCAAATATATTTTGCATTTTTACACTATTAAAGAAAAACAAATTAAACTTTTCTTTCTTTATTAAGTAAATAATAATTTCACAACCAGGAAAAGAAAATTTATGAGAAAGAAACCGATAGAAAAGATAGAAAAGGAACTTCAGATATTTTAAACTTACATCAGATGCTATAAAATTTTCCCAACTTCGCATGGCCAAAGGCACTAGACTAAAAAATCACATTTTTCGGTAGATTTTAAACTCAAAGGCTTCCCCAAATTACTGTGGCTCCTTTGTTTCGATAACTAGAATTTTGATACCATAAATATGTTTTGATAAAATAGTAACCATAACCCTTCTCTACATTGCCAAGAGGGGGTGGAGAGTTCATTTCTCCCTCAAAATCAACCCTTACCTACCTATCTGACTTGATCGTGATAGGCCTCCAATATGGTTCACGTACTCTAGAAGGCTCCAGAAGGATGGAGAAGCAGCTCAGCGCTGAAGAGTAACTAATTTCTGTTTTAGGGGCATGTGGGTGGGGAACTAATTCGGTTAGAGGAAGATTATAAATAGGGGAAGGGAAGAAAGGGTAGGGCAGGCAATTGTTTAGTGAGTATTGGAGTAAAGACTTGTATATCATTCTATTTTTCTGTAATCACTTTTCCGTCAATCAAAGAGTTGTGAATTCTTCACTTGAACTTGTTCTTTCCAGTTGGTATCTTATCAATTGGTATCAGAGCATGTTCGATCTGATGGCTGAGAAAAAGATAGAAATCAGAGTAGAAGCAATGGAGAGGAAGCTGAAGGAATTAAAAACAGAACTTCAATGCTTACCTAGACTGGAAAGAGCAGTGAAGCACTTAATCCAGATTATGGCCAAGATGACGGAATCAATGGAGGCAATCCAGGAAGATGTGGCAGCCTGATTCATCCTAAGGCATCCACGAACAAATCGCTGGAAGGAGATGTGTCCAGAAGTACCATGGAAGAGGCACCTCCTACTAATATCCACCTGGGACCCTTAGGTGATCAACGTGCTCAAGATCGAGGAAAGTGGCTAGGAGGAATAGGAGAAGCTAGCACCGGTAGAATAGCCTGCAATTCTGATAGAAACAGAGATGAAGGCAATTGGCGGAGGCAGCCGATGCAGGAAGGGAGTTTATGTGAGGAATTGTTGGCCATCTATCAGGTGGGGACTGCTGAGGAGTTCAGAAAGATGTTCGAAGCATTGGCTACACCATTACGGGGTATTCCTGAAGAGATTCTGGAAACCACATTTGTTAATGGGCTTAACCCAAATATTTGGGCCAAAATTTGTTTACACTGCCCAAGTGGATTAGGCCTCATTATGGAAACAGCCCAAAGAGTGGAAGAAAAAAATCTGATCATCAAAGCTACAAAAGAAACCTTGGGCCCAAAATTCTTCAAATCAAGGCCAATTCATGGAGAGATGAAGACTAGCGAACCTTCTCCCACACGAACAGTGATAGTCGGAGAGAAATCACCAATCCAGCACCCGAAAATTGTCATGACACTGGAAGGTGGGGCTATCCTCGAGATTATTCCGACCGATGAATTGCAGCACATAGAAGTTTTGGGGATGGGGACGACAGGTTATGGAGTTTGCTTGGGCACTATACTATTAGTAGATTGTAACTCAGCCCAGTTCCTGATACTTCAGTATCTCCTTCGTGCAATTACCTTGCAATCAATGGATGAAACTCAGAAAGCAGTGGTAGCCCTGATTTATCCTATGTCAACCATAAATAGAAATCTTGAAGGCGTTGAACTGCAACATGAAGGGGCAGCCAAAGAAGCGATGTTGAATGTCTTTGTTTCTTCTCCATTGGAGGATTATGAACCAGTAATGCCATCGCCAAACAAACAGAAGAAGGTGAAGATGACAACTAACAAATGGGGAGAAAAATATAGTTATGGGCTGATAATTAGGGCTGAAATTCATATGGCAAAACATGTGGGCCTAGTCCTGAAGATGGCCCAACAAGTGGACTACAAAGTTTTACCTAATCAAGCCCTAGGTGAAATGGGCCCGAATAAGAAAAAGGAAGATGGCCCAATACAATCACTTCCCAAATTCTCAATCGCTATTCAACGATTTTCTGGGGCCGATCTGCAATTGAAGAAGGAACAGAGGTTGAGCTCCTACGGCTATGAAAAATACTCCAGTGGCCAACACTACAAGAAGAAGGAACGGCAGGTCCCTGAACTTTTGTGGATGGAGGCGACAGGCTATGAGGTTTTAATGGACATTATATTAATGGTAGTGGATCCGCTAAATAAGATAATCGGCGACGAGAAAACAAAGGAACTAGACTTTTTTATGGCTGAATTTGTAGAGCAATTTGGACAAGGAAGGGAAAACTCTAATATAGAGTCATTGCATTCACCTAAAAGAGCGAATAAGAGGATAGAATCCTTGATATCTATTGGAAGAATTGCTGCCACATCTGGACTTGCATCTCAGATAGCATCAGGTGTGTCTGGCTCCGGAATTATAAATGCTAGGCCTGGAAGTGCAACGTCATCTAAGTTATTAGCCCACGTGGTATCACCTTGGAAGGTTGATGTTACTCGGGAAAATTTGGAAAAAGTGGCGGACCTTCTACTTGAGTTTGTTGCAAATGACATAACAATAACGTCTCAAGGAAGTAGCCAAAGTTTACTTGGTCGTCTTTTCCATATGTCCAATAAGATAGAGCCTCCAATTGTTTTAACGTTGTTGAAGTGTATTCATCATCTATCTACTGAAGCTCATTGCTCAGAAAATCTTCAACGAGGAGATGCAGTAAAGGATTTGATCTCTAACCTCGATCGCAAAAAAGGTGCCCTTGTATCCCAAATGCATCATGAGGTTCTCCATGCACTTTTCAATTGGTGCAAGATTAAGGAACAAGCAGCAGAAAACGGAATCATCCCATACCTTGATGCTATTTTGGAATGGATTTTCAAACTCAAACAGGTCCTCGGAATATGCCAATTTCCTGCACAACAGCCTCCAGGCTTAAAGTTCTAATTCTGCAACACTTTCTTGACTTCCATCTTGAGGACAAAGTGTATTTGGAACCCGGGGGTAATGATAGGCCTCCAATACGGTTCACGTACTCTAGAAGGCTCCAGAAGGATGGAGAAGCAGCTCAACGCTGAAGAGTAACTAATTTCTGTTTTAGGGGCATGTGGGTGGGGAACTAATTCGGTTAGAGGAAGGTTATAAAAAGGGGAAGGGAAGAAAGGGTAGGGCAGGCAATTGTTTAGTGAGTATTGGAGTAGAGACTCGTATATCATTCTATTTTTCTGTAATCACTTTTCTCAGCAAGCTCCAACAAGTGCAGCTGCAATTCTCTGTTTAGTGATCTTAGCTCCTTCTTGAAATCTAGAGGATATTAAATAATGATCAGATGTCGGACTTACTTTTATTACCATTTAACAAGTAAAAGGAAAACACATAGAAATGGCTCTTGAATTTAGTACTTCAAAACAAATTTGACCATGAGGTTGGCTTCAGTTTGAAATTCCTCGCTACCAAAAAAACAATGATGTATTTTTATCTTTCGTTCATGATTAAATAATATCTAGGAATATTATATTACCGACCTATATGTATCAAATAGCACTGGGTATAATCCAATGCAGACTGTCCACAATGCATATGCCAATTGATTTAAAATAGTAATACAACTGTAGAGGAATAGAAATTACCATTCTACTCATAGCATCAATGCAACATGTCTAAGACATCTAGCATAATTTAATTTGTAAATAAGGGGTTGAGATGGATTAAGAGTCACATGTAAAAAAATACAGTGTGGCCTTCAATAATATGAATAAGCATATCCAAAAGATTTTACGAGACAGCAGTGCATAGCTAATCGAGAGCTCTAAAAGACTAAGTGATTTGACAAGAAATCACTTTATGATAATCTAACCAATAGTGAAACCACAGCTATATAAAGCCAGTTGCATCTTGAGGGCTTGCCATTAGATAATGACAAGCGAAACTTCCAAACTTCAAGCACCAATGGAGAAAAAATGTGTAAGCCCAGCAAATATTATTAGGCCTCAACATTAAAAATGACATAGCAGCAAAGCAGAAGGCCAACAGACTGCTTGAAATTTGACACTGAAACACCTTCTGATGGAGTAAACTGGTATAGTGGCTGATTCAATATCCATCATATTGCGAAAATATTGTCAAAAGTGAAGCAGGATGCAAATCATACCAACATTTGGCCCTTTCGGGTACAATTGACGGACACCCTGCTCTTCTAGAGTAGGAAGCACATCATCAGTCTGCATAAAAAGTTCGCAACAAGGTTATCCTCGACATACTTCAAAAGAATATATAATAATTTTTTTGCAACTGAATTTTACATAATTTGAGGACGATTATCTTAGTTCCAGAGCAATAAATAACAATATGTAGAGAACTAGCTTCCGTCTACTGCAATTTATGTCAATCCAGACAAGAATATAAACATCTGCAAAAGAATTAAATTCACCAATAAAATTACTCACTCAATACAGGCAATTTTCTCTCTCTATTTTTTCACCAATGTTTATACAACGCCATCCTCAATTCAAATCCATAACCGATAAAAAGAAACCCCAGAGAAAGACTGAAAAAGAACCTTTTGACGACCATCATGTGTCAATGCTAATTCACAAATCCCATTATAACAGAGCTATTTTTCATTCAGAATTTCAAATTCGAAAGAAGTATAGAACGATTAGAAATAAAAATTAGTAGAAGTTTCAGCTATGTTACGGTGTAATTTGCTCCGTAGAGAACATAAGTGCCTTGGATTGGGGGTGGCGGCTCGGGAGCTGAGTTGGGGTTCTGTATATAATCCTTGTAGAGCTTGTAATACGGCGGAGGCGGTGGGTACGTTGCTGTAGCCATTTACAGTTGATTTCGGTACTCCAATTTCTTGATTTCTCTCAATAGTAACGCCAGAGCCAAGCCTGAAAATGGACGAACTGAATCTGATGGTGATCGAATTTAGTTCTGGTTCGTGAGAAAAATAGAGATAGAAGTAGCCAATCTTATTAATAGAATACTGAATTCGGTTGGAAGCGCTATTAATTTTGACCTAATTTTATTTTGATTGCTGACTCTGGGAGGGTTTCAAATTATTCCGGAAACTGAACTTCAGCCTTCAGCCGGACTCGAATTTGGACCTGAATTCGGGCATGAAACAGGTCTGCGCCGAACTGATTGAGGGTAATTATCAGTATATATTGAATAGTTTTGAGCCTCGTTCTTATCAAAATACATTTTTTCTCTCTATTCTTTTCACCACATAGTATTCAATAAAATAATATTACACATAAATAAAAAATCTTTTCTTATTTTTCAACTATATATTCTCTAAAAAAAAAAAATCACTATTTCAAAATACATTATTAACCCAAAATGGGTCTCGATTAAGGGCTAAGAAACAATTGAACTAGATTTGATTTACATTTAACATGGGCCAATTACGGAACGATTCCCGTTGACCAAGGGAGTTTTCATATTTTGGCTGATTAGCATATGGGGAAAAAAATAGTAACTACCCTACTTGAAATATCCATCCATCTACCTTCTCTTATCACTGTTCATTTGTGTAGCCTTTGTTTTCATACTGAAAGTGGATATTTACTGTTCATTAATGGGTTCTCTATTCATAAAATCTCTCTAAAAGGAACACGAGAAAAGCTAGCCACTTCTACAGCTCTCTCAAATGCTAATAGAAATTGGGCATCCCTCTCTTCCACCCTACCTCCATCGCCTACTACCACCCACCTTGTCGCCTGTCACCACCCCATTGCCCTATTCAACTACTTGTTCGCCAAGTCCAAAGGCGGCAAAATTGTTCTTCGAATTGAAGACATTGACTTAGAAAGATCACCCAAGGAGTGAAAGCCCAAGAATAACTAACCAAGAAGGGGGTGAATTAGTTATTTGAAACTTTTTCTAAAATAAACGCAAATTTAAGCAAATAACTATAAATAAATAAGACTACACAAAAGTAATAAGAGGAAGGGAAAAGAGAGTGCAAACGATGTAATAAGGAAATTCGATCCAATCACGATCTACGTCCCCTGTTACCAAACTCTCCGTCACGAGCAAGACCTTTTTTACTATCTTTGATTGATTTATGGTGCAATCCAACCCTTACAAAACTTCTGGTGACTTACAACTAAGGAGCACCGATCCTTTTACATGTTGAGCTTTCCGAGACCTCAACTCAATCCACAAGAAAATCAAAGTTACAATTGATAGATTTCTCTCCTAACAAATGGTATGGACACAACTAAATATTAAGAGAGAATTAGGCACAAACATTTCAATAAATCACAAAGAATATAGCTTAAGTATTGTGTGAAAAACTTTTATTGAGATATATGATTTTTCAAAAAGTTACTCACTCAAAAAGTTTTTCAACAAATAAATATTTTGATCTCTTAAAGATTGAATAACAAGGTAGATAAGATCAATGAATAACTCTTTTTAATGTTCTAGAAAGCTTGTTTTGAATGAGGTAAAAAGAGAGATATTTATAGCCATCAAACGGGAGATCCGAACGAGTGATTCGGACGTTCGCTCGGTATCCGGACGAGTAACTAGCCGTTTGCCAAACGGTAAAAAATTCGATCGTTGAAGACTTCATTCGGACCTCCGGAGACCCCATCCGGACGTCCGGATGGGCGATTATTTTACCCATCTAATTTTTCCTTCGTGAAAAATTTCCTTCAAGGTACTTGAACGATTTTCTTACATACTTCATATAGATAAGTAATTTCATAAAAGTTTAATTGTGAAAATCAAATTACTTATCTTTTGAAAATAATTTTTATGCAAGTAACGTTTGTCATGATAATTTTCGTACATAAAAATTATTTGAGTTATAATCGATGCGAAATATTAAAGTGTTTTACCTTTACACTTGAGTATACAAATGCATCTATAGCTAATGTCTTCAATTTCTTCATCCAATGCAATTTGGTGCGTAAAAGCTCGATTTCCATTTCCTTGTTCGTAAATCTTCAATCTAGCTTGTGTGTATATCGTTTTGTGTCAAGGTTGCATGATTCCCGATCTAAATCTTTCGTGTCATAAATTTGCAATAATCACTTAAATTCAATTTTTTAAAATCAAACGCAATTTGTTTGTAATAATCAAAACAAGAAGTCAATCATTAGGTCAACAAGGAGTCCGATGAAGTAATCCTTCGAGATCTTCCTGGCTTGGTGTTGTCGATTTTATTCCACAAGTGAATGGATCGTAACAAGTAGTAAAGCGGATCTTTTGAATCCAGATTATTGTTCTCACGAGAATTATACTTTAATACTCAATTTATTATTTATAACTTCTATTTGACGAAAATAAACGAGAACAGCGATTAAAAATGATTTTTATTTTAACTACTTAAAAGTTCGTGAGTGCAACAGAAAATGAGTGAGAATTCAAATAATACATGGGTATTGGGGCGGAACAACTTCATCTATTAGTCACCTTTACTTCTAGTAACGAGATTCATAAAATCTAAAGTAGCGTTCGATCGAATTCTTCTACGGTATTCAATTTACCCCTCTCGAGTTTTCATTGAGTCTATTTAAATAATTCAATTTCATATCTCTATGCAACTCAACATTATTTAAATGAAATAATAGTTCTAAGAATTCATATAGGACCGTAGCAATTAATATAGGTATCTCTACACGTTATATTAATTTATCGAATTTTAATATGTGGTCTAAACAAGAATCTGCATCTCTACGCAATTATTGTTCACGAAATCATTGAATAATTGGCCAGAAAATTCAAAGTATTAAGAACATGATTAAAACCTCCACATATAATCATACGAATAAGAATCTCAAATAAAAGAAATAAAAGATCCCAAATAGGTTACATTGTTTGCCCTAACAAAGAATTTAGCTACGCATAATGAAAGAAAAGAAAAAAACAAATTGTCTTGGAGTACATCACCGGATTTAGAGTTAAATATGTAGAAGAAAAAGTAGATCTTGCACCCAGAATTCCTCTTTTTTCCAATTTATGCTTCACATGATGAATTTGGCTTTGTCTTTTTCCTTTAAATCTCTCCGCCTTTATCTCAATAAGTGTTCTTGCCTCTAGAATATGTGTGGAACCCTAAAGTGTGAGAATTTTTGTATTTATAGGTCCCTTGCTATGTTGGAAGAATAGAGTTTTCATATGGACTCAAAAAGGAGGCCGAAATTGCGCCCTAACGTATCTGGGATGCAGCACCGCGGCGCTTGGAATGCGGCGTCGCGGCGCTTTTTCAAAAAAAGGTGGCGGCGCTGCAGCGCCATGGGTTGGAGCCTCTCTGAGTCTCCTGACGCCGCGCGGCTCCACTTTTCGAACAGACAACACACACCTCTTTCAGTATTTTTAACATAACTTTCTCTCCCGATATCCAATTGAGGCAATTCAAGATGCGTTGCAAAGCTCTTTCAAAGAGCTACAACTTTGCTTCAGACATAATTCTCCGATTCGATCATTTTCTATGTCAAAACCGGGTCTTAATGTGAGCCTGAAATTTCGAAGCATAGCTTTTTGGTTGGAAATTGATTTATGATCATATTTTGCCTAAATTTGATCCCTTTGACATCTTTCTTCATCCAATTGACTCCCAACACTCTTGAATCTTCATTTTGAGGTTCGACACAACTTTTGAATATTTGCACTTTAGTCTCCGTACTTCGGATTTTATACAATTTAGCTCTTTTCTCCAATTTTGTCTACTTTTGCTTCTTTCTTTCAAATCTTTTTCCTTCATAAAATTTTACCTATTAAACGTAAAATACAAATATTTAGGATATAATTTATCGAAAGAACGGATAAAGGTTTGTGTAACCATTTTGTTTATTTTTCAAAATTTGTCTTCTATTTGTTTATTTGTCAGATTTTTATTTTTTAAACATCACGAATTTATTGTGCAAGCCTGGCGTTGGTGGGATGTACGGTCCCTACTGACAGTCTGAAACAATTGCTCTTTGCAAATAATATGCAAATAAACTTCTGCAATCTGTTCATGTCTATCGCTGCTTCTGTTGAAATAAGTTTATCGCATGTATTTTTGTATTGACTCCAACGTAGATTTTTGACTGAATTGATGAGAGTTTGTATCCGTTTCTGTGAAATATACTATTTTTTATTGTTGACTGTTGGAAAAAAAAAAGGTTTAATGGGTCAACTTTGAGCCCAAATTTCAGTGGGACCCACCTTTTAAATAATACGGGACCTAGCATATTCACGTTCTACTCCGCAAGATGATTAACGTGATATATTTATTTATCGAAAACCATTTAAAATTGAATGAAATATTAAGTGTTAAAGTAACCCACATAAACTAAGGATTATGGAAGAATTTGATTTACCAAACACTTATCCCACATAGGAAAGTTAGGAAACTTTGGTGTGGTTTATAAGGTGGAAGTTTGGAATTGGGTTTGGGCCCCAAGGGGTACCAATAGTCTTTGGAAGGGGGAAGACCTATATCCTATTGGGTTCGGTCATAAACCCACACGCGCGCGCCGCCGCCG